TCACTAGCAAGATACAAATCAAAGCTTTCTTCTTCCCACCTATAATAAACCAAAGGCTGAACATACAGATTGATATACCTGCTAACAGTTAAGTGTATATGACAAAACATCATATCCGCTAAGCGTGCATTATGTTCCCTCTTTCATCATTCTAAAATATTGAAGTTGATGTTTGAGTTTTGAAAGAGAAAGTATTAATGATAACAGTATTGAAATAGTAAAAAAATAAAGAAAAACGGATCTTGACTATGTGGTTTTCAAAATAATAGAATACAAAAAAGAAAGAAAGAAATCAACAAATATTGTATTTGATTTGCATTGAACTTGACATGTGCGTCTTTTAGATTGAAGTTGATTTAAACAGAGAAAATAGACATAGACTGGATTTGAAATGTTCCAGTATCAACCAAAGAGAGCGAAAGCAAATACACACATGGCTCATCTCATTCGTCTTCTTTCAATGTATCTTTGTTTGTTATTTTCTACTTTACTCTTTCCCTCATGTCTAAGTTCCTCCCAACTTTAAGATAGATGGGCGAGATGCAAGGGAATATGGTAATACAAAGGAACACAAGTGGCACATCCTTGTATTTTGAGCGTCATAAACAAGGTTTATGCCTTATGACCATTGCATTGCTGGGTCAGCTGTGTAACTGCTTCAATTCTTTTGAAGCCTACATATTATGGCATTCAGTGCCCAAATAACAAGGATGCAATGTTCACAGTTATTTTTGGCTCTGTCATGCATGGTTACATATCAAATGAAAAGCAAAGACTTCCAAAACAAAATGACCAAATGTGAATAAAAGGGATACAAGGTATAGAACTTGTTCTGATTTGTCTACAGTTTAAAATATATCAAAAGCAAAGTGAGACACACACAGAGAATGTTTCAATACCTACATCTATGATTCATTATTTGAAATGTAAGTGCTGACTTATCTAACATTGATGATTGCAATCGTTTGATGGATTGAAAATACTCACTAAATTGATGAGATCTCCGTATCGCTCAGGGACGTTTTCGGCTGAGTTGTTAGAGCTCAGATGTTTTTCTTTATTTTCGCAAATATACAAAACAAAATATAACTAATACTCACACATTTCATGGCCCTGCCAGTTCAGTGTTATATATTTGTGAACATTAAGAAAACCTAAAATCAGAGCATTGACTGTATTCACACCAATGCAATGTCAAATAACTTCAACCTTAACCTAATTTGTATTTGTAAAAAAAACAGTCAATTGGAACATTGCCAACACATGTCATGCTGCAGTGCACGGGTTGGAGTTTAATTATTGGCTCCTAGCTTTTGTACTTATCTAATGAACAGTGAATGTGCCTTACTGACATGATGACTACTGAATGATCATAAGGCATATCAAGACATATATCTAATAGAACTGCTCGGGTCTTGATAGATTGAGTGGGGAAGTTCATGAGATCTTTCTAGAGGGTTATCAAGAATAACTTTTATCCAATGACCTTTTCCCTCTGTCTGTGTCTGTGTATTCTCTTGTTCCGATTAACCCAGCCAAATCTTTTTTCTTGTTTTGTATCTATATCTACGCCGGGATCCGGAGTCGAGGCTGATCCTCTTGCTGTAGTCCTGTGTCTTGGATCCTCTATCCTGAGTTCTGGATTAAGTCGTGGACTTCGGGTCGTGGCTGAACCTGTCTCTGCGGTCCTGCCTTGGGTCTCGCCATGCTGCTTCCCTGATGGCTTCCACAGGATTGTAGCTGACATCCTTGTGGATTCATCTTCTTATTACAGACACATGCATTTCCTAACAATCGGTCTATATGCTGTAAAATGTATTATCTATTCGATTTACACACGGCATCTATTGCACGTCTGTCCGTCCTGGGAGAGGGATCCCTCCTCTGTTGCTCTCCCTGAGGTTTCTCCCATTTTTTCCCCTTAAACTGTGGGTTTTCTCTGGAAGTTTTTCCTTGTACGATGTGAGGGTCTAAGGATAGAGGGTGTCGTTTTTCTCATACTGATATTCTGAACAATCTGTGCTGTTGTATTTGCTGTAAAGTGTCTCTACTGTAGGCTATTTTTATTATATGTACAGCACTTTGGCTCGACCAAAAATCGTTTATAAATGTGCTATATAAATAAAACTTGATTTGATTTGATTTGAAGACATATTTGACAATTTGTATGCCTCTTGCGCATTTCTAAAAAGGAAGCTTGTCTATAACGTTTTGTGCACGTTTCTGTTTTTCCTTGAAAACGTTCGTAACATATGCATTTCTTTCTACATACAGCTTGGGTTAAGCTGTGTTAAGTTATTAGGAGAGATCAGGCCTGTTCGAACTACTGCTCAAACAACACTGGCTCAATGGACTCAGCTAAATTAATGATTTACTTAGATTTACTTTTTCAGAAAAACAATACTGGAAGTTTGGGTACTCGTACACACCCTGTGAATGAATGCTTTTGCACCACGGAGAAACACTGAGAGTGAGTGTGTGTTTGAATATTTCAGCACCATTGAGAGATACAGGGAGAAGCTGGTGCTGTGGCCTGTTTCCATATTCATTCTCAGCTTTCTCTCAAGTTTGGAGAAAGCAGTATGTTCATGCTGGAAAAGTGACAAACAATAACCATACTGAAAAATGTTAGGATGCAAACTATGGATATCAAATCGGAAGATGTGTGTGTGTGTGTGTGTGTGTGTGTGTGTGTGTGTGTGTGTGTGTGTGTGTGTGTGTGTGTGTGTGTGTGTTGTGTGTGTGTGTGTGTGTGTGTGTGTGTGTGTGTGTGTGTGTGAGTGTGTGTGTGTGTGTGTGTGTTGGAAACCCCTGTCTCACAGTGTAATGCACAAAGGAAATTATGAATAAAATAAGTTGACAGCATCAGATCTTGGAGGGCTAAAAATAAAATATTAATAATTTGGTGAGACATTTCACTTCTCTTTCTCAAGCCACCGTATGATTAATGCATATATTATATCCTTGACTTTAAGTGACTATACATTTGAATGTTTCAGCACCACGGACAGAGACATGGTACAGTAATGACAGTCAGGGTTACATTAGAGGCAACACAACATAAAGTGTTAGTGAACCTCAACATTACAAGCAACATTAAATAGGTTGAATGTAGATTCAACATTATTTTAATAGCTCATTTTAAAATGTGTAGAATGTGTTCAAAATAGCCAGCATCTTTGCATTCATTTGCATGTTTGTCCACTCTGTGAATGTGAGTCAAATACTCCCTATCCTTTAGGCTTTGTGTTCTCCAACAACAATAGATGATATGCCCCCAATTTTTTCCAGAGTACTTTTTTTCCCCTCGAGTGTCAGATGTCCATTATGAGGTCACGTTATCACACCCATCAGAGCATGTTGGGGTTCAGTGTCTAGCCCAAGGATTGATCATGCACTCTTCCTCCTGAGCCACATACAGGAAATGTATACTGTGTATTCAGTATACACTCCCTTATAAAGATATCTAACTCCTTTTAACTATTGCACCTCATGTCTCTTTAGGTTTGATTACATGTTTTTCTTTAAAAAAAAAACACACATTTATAAAGGAATCTACAAAGAAGAGAAAATATAACACTGCTTTGCATTTTAATCTTTGTACTCCTGCCTCATCTCTGGGTCTTTCAAAAACATCCATCCGTCTCACTAGTAATTATATGAATAACCCAGAAAATAACAGTTATCGAAAAGGATGATCTGAAACATTAACATTCAAATATTGGTGACCATTGTTGATGTTGACTTTGAGTTCATGAACCAAGATGTATGTAACTATGCAGCTTTAGAATAGCCTTCCTCCTTATATCGTTTTTTAATATGATGATTTTTAAATACTTTTGACTTTTAAGCACCATATTAAATGATGAAAAATGTGTAGGTACAGCCTTAACTATGTTTTGTTGTTGTATTTATATACCTTTTAAACATATCTGTGTAACTTTGTTCTTTTATTTAGTTGATGTTATTAACAACATGTTTGTTTATACCTTGTACTTTTACCTGTTTCTATTAACATGTCTGACTATGTCTACATCATCAAAATAAGAGGGGATATAAACCAAAAGTGGTTCTGCATCTGATTTCTTTTTTGTACTGTTTTTTATGAATCACTATTTAAAGACATCTGTGTGTTTGGTCGATGACATATGCTGTGCCTCAGGCTGTCCATTGAACGTATTGACTCAAACCACACATATTATATCCTTTTGAAATAAGTTGTTAAGTGAACCTTTCAAGTTCTACTTTCAAGCAACAACATTTGAAAGTAACATGGGTAAGATATTTTATGAAATTCATAGAAAAAGGTATCTGAACCATGACTGTAACTTGGTAAACGGCATCTGCTGGTGAAGACAATGACATGATTAAAACCGTCATGTCTGTCACAGACTACTAAATTAACCTTAAGGTTATACTGTATATTTTGTTGTCACCTTCTGTTTTTCAAGGTGCTCACTTTGAACTTCAACTTTGGAGTTGGTGTTGATAAAAAAAGGTGTTCATAAACAAATATGTAGATCTGGCAAACATAAAGTGTTTAAACAGATCATGTGATATAATAAGAAATGCTCCACAACAGCTACAAAATGGACATTGACTGGATCATTTGTTGAATTCTTTCCAAGGTCAATAATCAATGATGTACCTCATAACATATGCTTCGACAATGTATTGTGTTAATAATTTGGCTAAAATCCCTCATAATTTCCCAATACAAGTTCCTTCTTGTAGGCTACTTATGTTTGTTAATTTAAAAGTAAGACATATTCTACCATAATCACCTATTTCAATACATGTATAATAAGAGCCTATAAAATCATAACTCTTACTTTCATTTTTTTGGAGATTTTCCTATGTTTTTTTTCTAGAAAAGCCAGCAAATCCTGCATAATGACTATCGTGGTGACTCCACCTCATGTTTGTCTTTAAGAGGACACGTGCTTCTCCGTGTTTAAGTGATTTGTTGTCCCACTGTGTGAACACGAATGGATATGTGTGAGGAGCGGAAAGATGTCATCCTCCTCACTACACCTGTGCTGCCGCCTCCTGGACGGACGCGACTCCTTTGCAGCGTCTGTAGCCTGCTATAAGTGAACGGACAGCTTATGAGCCCCACTCAAAGCGAGAGAACCACACACGAGGAGCGGGATGGCGCGGATATCAATGCCTCACCTCCACCTCCTTCTCGCGGGGCTCTTCCTAACGGGGACGTTGCCAGTCCGAGCAAACAGAGGAGCAACTGTGCCCGACGAAGAAAAAAGAGATAAAGAGAGCCACGCGGAGGCGCCATGTGAGGTGAAAACCGTAACCGTGTCCACCTTGCCCGTACTCCGGGAGAACGAGTTCAGCTTCACCGGTGGAGCTTCGGGGAACGTGGTCGGAGGAGGGGGAGCTGCTGGAGGAGGAACTGGTGCTGCTGGTGGTGGTGGTGGAGGAGGAGCAGGAGGAGGGGGGGAATCCCGACTCCTGTTATTCGTTAGAACAGACCTACCTGGGCGAATTTCCGTAATGGATGATCTTGACAACACAGCTCTCCCCTACTTCACACTCGGTAAGAACTGCTGTGTTGTTTGCTCTCCACTATGATAACCAGTCACCCTAGATGCGCATTGGAAACATGCACACTGGTAGCCTGTGTTCACCCTGAGCTACATTCCCCAAAAACATGGGCTCATACACGCACTCCCTGGCGTTTAATCACCTGCCCTGTTTCCATTAGCTTGTTCTGATTCAATTTTAACTTTAACGTTGTCGAGCAGGCATTATGTGCCACCAATAATCCTGGCCAAAAGATAGGTATTTAGTATTAATTTCCCCTCTCCCTTCTGGTACTTACATTCTGCTGCTTCCGCATGGGATACAAACTAACTTAGTACAGCTCATGTTTAAGCAGTGTTGGGAGTAACGCGCTACAAAGTAACGCGTTACTGTAATTTCTGGCTGTGACTAGTACTCTAACGTATTACTTTTTGAATTCAGTAACTCAGTTACCGTTACTACATGGTGCGTTACTCCGTTAGTTTTTTTTATATAGTCAACAGCCAGGCGAACAGAGATGAGAACTGTACTTAAGTACAGTACTTGAGTAAATGTACTTAGATACTTCCTGTGTCACATGCGGAGACGCGCTGTGGGCGTGTTTGTGTTGTTTACTAACAAGACTAGCATGGCGGCGGCGGAGCTCAAGTCTAGTTTCTCCACCTGGAGATATTCTCACTATTTCACTTTTGTCGAGCACAAAGAAAATAACGTTTTAGTTAAATGTAAGTTGTGTCTTGGTGGGTCAAAGATCCTATCTACTGCCCAAACCAGTAATTCAAATCTCTTAAAACATCTGCAAAAACAACATGCTGGGACGAAGCTAGTAGCTAAGACCACAGAGACTCAGCCGACGCCACTCCACCTCCACCTAAGCAACAGCGGCTGGATTTTAACCAAGGGACTGCTAGCCAGGGAAAAGTCGATAAAGCCATTGCACGGTATGTTGTAGAACACATGCAGGCTATTGCTACAGTGGAGTCACCCGCGTTCAGGGAGCTAGTTAGCATGATAGCATGTCCGGGCGGCACACGGCATATGGGACGGAAAACTTTTTCCAACTACCTGGAGAAAGAATATACAAAAATGGAAAGCCAGCTAATATCGATGCAATCCAGATTGCATATAATGCATGTCAAGTTGATCAACAGATTGGATTATTCTCCAATGCAATAACAGTACTGAAATGAAGGCTATAAGGGCATTAATGGGAGCCCCTTTGTTAAGTAACTAAAACGCATTTCACACTAACGCATTACTTTTTTGGGTCAGTAACAGTAACTGAGTTACTTTTGAAATGAAGTAACTAGTAATGGTAACTAGTTAGGCCTACTGGTTTTCAGTAACTAGCACAACACTGTGTTTAAGTGACCCTCCTTTTCCTTCCGCTTCCTCTTCATCTCTTTCTGTCTAGCTTTCCTATTTTTTTGGTTTAATATGATTATGACTTAGTGCAAAGCCTAAGTATGGTGCCCCAATCAAGGAATCCAATTTGGCCCTGCAAATATGCATGAAATTGGTATTTTACTCTCACTTGAGCACATAATTCATAGCACACATCATTGCTGATGGTGTGAGTTCAACTGAATTAAATACTAGCCTATATTTTACACCGCTGTCAACATTTGACCGTGGTAGGTTTTAACTTCCACATCCCCTTTTTGTCAGTTTAGTCTCATACAACTGAGTAAATCCACACGACACAACACATGTCTTTGATGGCTCTTCATCATTTAAAATGTCTGGAAAGTAGAATCAGTGATTGGATAATAATAGAGGATGCACTAGTGGGAAAGTGTTTTTGCCTTCTAACAACCCCAAAAGGTATTTGTTTTGCAAGAGTAGCAGACTTTGCTCTCTCCATATTTCTCACTTATGTCACTGAGTCCCCAGGAAGATGGATGTTCTTATACTTGTCCCTTGGTGCGTGTGAAATGAGCACTTTTTTTTCCTTGTGTATTGGTAGATGTTAGGGCTGCACGATATTGGAAAAAACTGACTTTGCGATATTTTTTTCTCTGTGATATATTGCGATATGAAAACATACAGGAATTGAAGAAAAGACCGTTTTCTTTCCCGCAAACCATCCTTTCTTGAACTTTAATGCTATACAATTGGTATTTTTTAAACTACATTTAACAGGATGAAGGATTTTAGTCACGGACGTCTGGATCTTAAGTTATCAGAGCAACAAGCTGAGCTAGCTCGGTTAGCAGCGCCAAACTGCCCTGGAGAAACACATGAAACGACTTTATTCAGTGTTTTTACCTTTAATCACTGAGTCTGTTTGCTTTGGAGATTTGATTGTGATTGGTGGTTTGCTGTGCATGCAGAGCCTGCATGTCACTCACTCAAGTACCGCTGGCATGAGAGCCACGCAAGTTTTCCTTTTGTAGCAAGCAGCAAAATAATTGTAACATGACGTGTTTGAGTTAATTTGCCTACATAATATCGCAAGTCCAAAAGAAACAACATTTTTTTTTTTTTTTTTTTTTTTTTTTTAAATCGCACGTCCTGCATGCCGCGCATATCGCGATTATCGTCACGACACGATATATCATGCAGCCCTAGTAGAGGTGCAGTACAGAGTGTGGGGCACACAATAATGTTTGAATGCAATAGGCTACACAGGGTATACAGGCATGTACATGTTTTTCCTCTTCTCAATCAAGTGTTTATGGCACACAAGATGCAAGACTTGGTGGAGGTCGTTGATGTGGGTGCTGAGGAAATCCATGTCTCATTACCACAGTTTTCAGACCCTGGTTTGCCATCTTATTTTACTTTTCTTTGTTCCTCTTTCTCTGGTCTCTGTTTTATTCTCTGTATGAGGAGTGCTAAGTAAACTGGCAGCATGGAGCACAGGCGGGCAGGCAGGAAGGCTGAGGGCTGGAGCATTAAGCTAGTAAATCACTTTCTATTCTCATTAAGGACAGCCGTTGACTGGTGAGAAAGGCCTCTCTGTCCTCCCAGTCAGCCAGCTAGCACATTTGCTGCTTCACCCTTCCAGTGCATGACTGCTTGCTGTAGAGGGAGGAGGAGAAAGGAGGTTTTCATATTTGTAATGCAAGCATGCTCACTCATGCCATTGAACACATTGTTAAACTGAATAACTGCTGGAGTGTAGTTATTTGCGCAATAAATATGGATGTTAATGCTACAAAGCTGGAATTCATGAAATCTAATAGATATGTATTTTTAGGAATACACGCAGTAACATGTTCCTTTTTAAAAATTGAAACATATATATATATGAAAGCCCTCATATAATCATTGTGTTAAGTTCGTGAGATTCCGAGGCAAAATAAATGTTGGTGTCACCTGTGTTTTCCTCGTGTTCGGTAGTCGACACCATTCAGGTCATGCTGTCAGCTTTCCTCCGGAAGGATGTATTGGAGGTGGAGTTCTGCTTGTAAAAGGAAATGTTGTAACCTGACATCATACAAATAAACAGTGATGTTGATTCAGTGAGCAGGACAAAATGAGTAATTTAAATCACATAGTCTGTGAATTTGTATTATCAGAATTGCATTTGTTCCATTGCTATTCTATCGCTTTTATTACTTCTTGTAAAATTGTAAATTGTGGTGCTCCAGGTTGCTTCAACAGCTGAAGCCAGACCAAACATAGTCAATTGCACAGGTATTATATGAGCTTTGTCATTGGACCTTTACATTTCAATGTATCCTTGGTTTGTTTTTTAGCCACTGAACATTATATACAGTTATACTGTGTGTATATTGTGTTGGATTGAGGCACCGACACACTAAATTCTGTTCTTTTAATCTCTCGTGTTTTGATGCTTCCAGGAAGCTGTAAACATCAGTGCCTTTGAAAAAGACTTCAGTAACTTCAGTAATGTAAGCTGAACTAAAGAACAGATAATCATTGTGCACAATGTAAACAACTCTCATTCAAAGAACGCAAGTCTTAAATAACTGAAACTGTTCATACTGACTGTGATACCGCAGACTAAACATACTGAAAGTTATAGCTGGAGTCTCATTAGTCACCTGCCTACTTGCACATTTTGACCTCTCGTGCTCAAGACATCTGTGCAGTTTTCATTTTCTGAACTGATTACCATAGCTCATTATATATGCTCACTTTATTGCTTACCATGTACTATTGTTGCCTCTTCAGTCAGCCACTGTGCTACACTTGACTGACTTGTCAAAGTGAAAATCGTGTGCATTAAATCTCCTTGGAACAGCTGTAATTGTTTACGTCCCTCAAAAAAAGGATACCGGAGAGATTTCCGAATGCTGGGGCATACTTTTATTCAACAAAAGCCATCCAGGCCATAATGAGCACAGTCCTGTCAGCTTCTTCAATTCTGTCAGATGTTGAATTGTTTTGTCGAATGAGCGTCAGAGGTTAGGGAAGGTGGGACTAGGACAGCGAGTCCCCTTCTCACTGTGGCCCACTGCCTGCTCAGCTTTGATTTATTGCCTCGAGTGTCATGGAGAATGGATGAGCAGAAAGGGCAGTGCAGAGGAAATGTACAAGGCCCCTACCCGCCGACCCCATTTCTTGTTTTGTTTTAATACCATTTTCCTTTGGTGAAAACAAATAATAACAAAGCAAACAGTTGGAGAAGTAAATGCATTTAATAAGCACGTACACACAGTGAACCATAACATGTCATGGATTTGCTGATATGTCTGTTTCCTGTGGATCCACTTTAGTATGTTGACAACATTGTTATTCTTTAAGTCACATTCAAGGAATTATGTGTTTAACCTTTCAACAATGAGGGCTTTCCCTTTATTAATGCTATAACACTACTGTTCCACTGTCATTTCTCTTATATAATGAGTGTTAATGCCACCTTTTAATGAAGTGGTACTGTGATGGAACATTTAAGCAATCCAGTTTTTTCTTTGGAGAGAATTCGATGCTGCTATGCCTTGTCACACAAGATAATTTCTTGCTCATTTTAAGTGATGTGAGACTGGGTGGAAATCGATATGTTTAGCAACATGGCTGACTCGGTATACACCTCATTAGGAG